TTGAAACACATTGCATTAGACAACCATACATTGTTCACCTTTTCGAAATTTACCAAGTGAAAATACATTTGAGATGTGAAAACATGTTAAAAGATCTGGAACAATGTGTTTAAAATTAAACCTAATAATGATGTTTAAAATGTGTGGACTTCAGCTCCCAGAATCCTGCAGCCAGTTCTCCCAGCCAGGGGAATGTTGGGAGTTGAAGTCTACCCATCTTAAAGTAGCTAAATTGGAAACACACTGAAGGACGCTGTCACACATATTAGCTTTGGGAAATTTGCCAAATTAGAAGGCATTTGAGATGCAAAAACACATTTCTGATCTGGGGAATAATATTTAATATTTAAAATGATATTTTTAAAAAATCTGTGGCCTTCGACTCCCAGAATTACCCAGCGGGGGGGGGGGGGGGGGGAGCAGGGGGGAATTCTGGGAGTTGAAGTCCACCCGTTTTAAAAGAGCCAAGTTTGCAACACAACTGGATTAGACCCTCATATACATAAGCTTTTGAAAAACGGACCAAGTGACAATAAGGTCTAGGTATGCTTAGAAAATAGAGATAAAAATTGAAACAGAACGATCAAATAGGAGAATACTCAAGATAGTGATACCTAGACATGTAGATACGTAGAATAAATATAGATATTAATAATCACCGATGAGAGATATGTATATAATAATTATTGATGATAAGTATATATATATAAAACAACTATTGGAGATGTGTACGAACAGTGGATAGAGATATGAGACAATAACAGAGGTGGATGTAAATGCTGTCGAAAATGTAATGACGATTTGTATTAATAGAAAACAATAAAAAAATATTATTTAAAAAAGAAAGAAAATAAGGTCTAGGTAGAAGTGGTTGGTGTGCTGAGTCACACATTTAAGGTTTGCTGGAAAAGCCTGGGGATTTTCCGATGAAGTTCAAGGCCTCTTAATTTGGGGCTGGTGTGTGCGTGTGTGTGTGTGTGTGTGTGTGTGTGTGTGGTGTGTGTGCCACCGCAGTGGTGCCCTCTTGTTCTGGAAGTTTCAGGTCCTCCTTTTTCCTGACCTGGGCGTTGCAATTACTTCCCACTTTTGTTTCCTCGGAAAGGACAGCAGGCATAGAGGGCAAAGGGCGGCCTTGGTGCTTCTCACGCAAAGCTGAGCAAACATCTGACCTCCCTTTGCTCCAGGGCTGGCAAAAAAACACACACAAAAAAGGAAGAGGCTCTAGACATCTTTACCTCAGGGGTAAATCGGCTCCCAAAAAATAAAAATAAAAAGCAAAGCATGAAAAAACGGGGATCTTTAAGAGCCCAGATAAGAGAAACCGGAGAGATAAGACACCAGTGTGCCTGTCGGCTCTTGCTAAGGCTGGGTGCATGCACAACCTGATAAGTCCGGGCTAAACAGAAATAAATAGGCGGCTGTGGCTTTGCACAACTGTCAGATTTGAAAACGGGGCGGTTTGTGGCTCGGATTCAGGGCTTCGAATGAAGGGGGGGTGAAGTGTCACTGTTTTTTGGGGGTTGGGCTTCCGATTCTATTAATCGTTCCAGTTATGATTTCAATAAAGGAGAATATTTATAGCTCCGTGGTCTCTGAGCTTGCTTCTTTTCTTGCAGACATTTCATGACCCAACTAGGTAACATCATCAGTGCTAGGAGGAGGAGGAGGAGGAGGACTGTGGGGTCCTTGTTGCTCTCTGAGCTTGTTTGTTTTCTCACAGACATTTCATGACCCAACTAGGCAACATCTTCAGTGCTAAGAGGAGGAGGAGGACTGTGGGGTCCTTGTTGCTTCTTTTCTTTCAGACATTTCATGACCCAACTAGGTAACATCATCAGTGCTAGGAGGAGGAGGAGGAGGACTGTGGGGTCCTTGTTGCTCTCTGAGCTTGCTTGTTTTCTCACAGACATTTCATGACCCAGCTAGGTAACATCATCAGTGCTAGAAGGAGGATTGTGGGGTCCTTGTTGCTTCTTTTCTTTCAGACATTTCATGACCCAGCTAGGAAACATCTTCAGTGCTAAGAGGAGGACTGTGGAGTCCTTGGTGCTCTCTGAGCTTGCTTATTTTCTTGCAGACATTTCATTACCCAACTGATGATGTTACCTAGTTGGGTCATGAAATGTCTGTGTGAGAAAAAAAAGCAAGCTCAAGAGAGCACCAAGGACTCCTCAGTTATGATTTCTTTGTCCAAACACTGGTTCTTCTTTGCACCCCATAAGAGGATGCGCCCGCAAAGACCAGCTGGCTGCACGCATGCGCATGCTCGGGCGCTCCCGCACTCACAAAGACCAGCTGGATGGCACGGAACCCAGAAGAGCAATGGCCGACGGCTGGCGTGCCTGGAGAGATGGCTCTGTGTACCACTTCCAGCACTCATGCCATAGGTTCGCCATCATAGCCATAGAGTCTCTTCCTGGCCACGCGGTGTGTCCCCCCCCCAAATCGGAAGCGCTTCTCAAAATTGTGCTGAGCCGACCGGTGACAGGGAGCAAAGGTATGAAAGAGCCACATGTGGCTCCAGAGCTGCGGATGGCCGACTCCTGCACCAGACAGACGAACAAGGTTGTACTCCTTCCTTGGTTCTACCTGACCTCAACTGGACACTGGGTTGGGGTGGGCACAATGCTGGAGAGCGTGCCATGTTCCTGCAAGGAAACTTCGATTTGGGACGTAGAACTGTCCATCTTGCTGTATTGCCTGGGGTTTACTTTAAGTAAGGGGGCAGAGAGATGCCTTTGCTGGCTGAGGAGAAAAGAGAGTCGGACTCCAACCTGCTAAAAGTTGGATTTGCAAATAATAATAATAATAATAATAATAATAATAATAATAATAATAATAAGAAGAAGAAGAAGAAGAAGAAGAAGAAGAAGAAGAAGAAGAACATCAGGTTGAGAAGGTTCTGGATGCAGAGTCTGCAAACTCTGCAAAGAAATGCAGACTCTGCAAAGAAGTGGACGAAATCATCGATCACATACTGAGCTGTTGCAAGACAACCGCTCAGACTGAACTACAAACAACGTCACAACACAGTCGCTCAGAGGGTCCACTGGCACTTGTGTCACAACTACCACCTGCCTGTAGCAAAGAACTGCTGGGATCATAAGCCTGAGAAAGGGGTCGAAAATGAGCATGCTAAAACTACTGTGGGACTTCCGAATACAGACTGACAAAGTTTTGGAACACAATACCCCAGATATCACGATTGTGGGAAATAAAAAAGTGTGGATCGTCGACATTGCCATACCTGGTGACAGCAGAATCGACGAGAAACAACTTGAAAAAGTCACCAGATATCAGGACTTGAGAATCGAACTGCAGAGACTCTGGCATAAACCAGTGCAGGTGGTTCCAGTGGTACTGGGCACACTGGGTGCTGTGCCTAAAGACCTAGGCAAAAACAATTAGCGCTGACGAGATCACCATTGGTCAGCTGCAGAAGGCCACCTTACTGGGATCTGCTCGCATAATCCGCGGATACATCACACAGTCCTAAACGCTTGGGAAGGGTTTGACGAGTGATTTGTGATACGAAACTCAGCATGGTTACCTTGTTTGCTGTGTACACTGTCGTTTTTTGTGTGTGTATAATAATAATAATAGTAGTAGTAGTAATAATAGTAATAATAATAATATATAAACAATGGTTGCTGGAATTGGGTAGGTCTATTTGATGAAAAGAAGGACTAGGGGAGACGTGATAGCAGCCTTCCAATATCTCAGGGGCTGCCCCAAAGAAGAGTGGGGTCAATCTATTCTCCAAAGCACCTTAAAGGCAGGACAAGAAGCAACGGGTGGAAACCCATCAAGGAGAGAAGCAACTTAGAACTAAGGAGAAATTTCCTGACTGGGAGAACAATTCATCAGTGGAGCTGCTTGCCTCCAGAAGTTGGGAATTACTCCAACACTGGGAGTTTTTAAAAAGAGGTTGGATAACCATTTGTCTGAAGTGGTGTATGGTTTCCAGCCTAGGCAGGGGGTTGGACTAGAAGACCTCCAAGGTCCCTTCCAATTCTGATATTCTATTCTATTCTATTCTATTCTATTCTATTCTATTCTATTCTATTCTATTCTTTATTCTGATATTCTATTTTATTCTTTATTCTGATATTCTATTCTATTCTATTCCATTCCATTCCATTCCATTCCATTCTCTATTCTATTCTATTCTATTCTTTATTCTGATATTTTATTCTATTCTATTCTTTATTCTGATATTCTATTCTATTCTTTATTCTGATATTCTATTCTATTCTATTCTATTCCATTCTATTCTATTCTTTATTCTGATATTCTATTCTATTCTATTCTATTCTATTCTATTCTATTCTATTCTATTCTATTCTATTCTATTCTATTCCATTCTCTATTCTATTCTATTCTTTATTCTGATATTTTATTCTATTCTATTCTTTATTCTGATATTCTATTCTATTCTTTATTCTGATATTCTATTCTATTCTTCTGATATTCCATTCTATTCTTTATTCTGATATTCTATTCCATTCCATTCCATTCTCTATTCTATTCTATTCTTTATTCTGATATTCTCTTCTCTTCTCTTCTCTTCTCTTCTCTTCTCTTCTCTTCTCTTCTCTTCTCTTCTCGTCTGTTTTCTATATTCTATTCTGTTTTTGTTCTGCTCTGCTCTATTATCATTCGCTTCTCTGTCTCAAGGGAGAGAAAGAATGAGCTTTCAGGCAAAGAAAGCGCCCGAAGCCCAGAAGCCGCCTTGACTTGTGAGTAAACCCATTTGACAACCAGGGAGAATCGCGCCCCAGCATCGCCCCAGCCCAAACGCAGCACGGACGAGGCGCGTCTGGTCCCGGCGAAACCCAACCCGGGTTCGCAGAAGAAGAAGGAGAAGACGAACCGCTGTCACCTGACCCGAAACCTCCCGGCCAATCAGAGCCCGAGGAGGGGCCTAGAAGCCTTTGGAACCGAGCGGGTGCTTTAAAAAGCCAGCCAAGTTCTACGCTCCGCTTTAAACCCCGGGCATCTTCGCCGGAGAAGCTGGGCAAAAAACGGAGCGACGCCGGAGTGAAGCCATTTTCGGCGCCGGGCGAGCGAATCCAGAGCGGGTCGGCGATCCGCGCTTCCATTTCCACCCCCGTTTTTCAACGTGGGGTGAACCCACCACGCGTGTCCTTCTGAAAATCCCTGCCTTTCATTGAGACTCGATCCGGCCGCTTGTTTCTTTTTTACATTTTTTTTCTGGGTAAGTCCAGGAGGGAAACGAATTTTCTTTTCTTTTCTTTTTTAATGTTTTTTATTTAAATAGTTTTTTTTTTACCTTTAACATCCCACAAAAGTGCTTGGGTGAACAGTGTATTTAGTCTGGGTCAATGTACTTTATGTACAATACAAATAACAATAATACCATTTAGGGATATACAAGAATAATCTCTCAACTCCTAACATAGTAACCTATACATAGAACAGAGTAGAATAACAGAGTTGGAAGGGACCTTGGAGGTCTTCTAGTCCAACCCCCTGCTTAGGCAGGAAACCCTCTACCATTGCAGACAAATGGTTATCCAACCGCTTCTTTAAAACTTTCAGTTTGGGAGCATTTACAACTTCTGGAGGCCAGTTGTTCCACTGATGAATTATTTTAACAGTCAGGAAATTGCTTTAAAAAAAAGAGAGAGGTTAAAAGATTGGCATGAGTTAGACAATAAATCTTCCTTGCCTGCAGAAATTGTGAGTGCTCCAATGCTGGGAGTTTTTAAGAAGAGACTGGGGCAACCTTTTGTCTGAAATGGTATAAGTTTTCCTGCTTGAGAAGGGGGTTGGACTAGATGGCCTCCGAGGTCCCGTCCCACTCTTTTATTCTATTATTGTGTTGCTGGAATTGGGTATGTCTGGTTTAATGAAAAGAAGGACTGGAGTGACGTGATAGCAGTCTTCCAATATCTCAGGGGCTGCCCCAAAGAAGAGGAAGTCAAGCTATTCTCCAAAGCACCAGAAGGCAGGACAAGACGCAACTGATGGAAACTAACCAAGGAGAGAAGCAACTTAGAACTAAGGAGAAATTCCCTGACAGTTAGAACAATTAAACAGTAAAATCATGTGCCACAATAAGTTGTGGGTGCTCCATCACCTGAGGTTTTTAAGAAGAGACTGGACAGCCATTTGTCTTTAGTGGTGTAGGATTTCCTGCCCAAGCAGGGGGTTGGACTAGAAGACCTCCAAGGTCCCTTCCAACTCTTTTTCTTTTCTATTCTATTCTATTCTATTCTATTCTATTCTATTCTATTCTATATATTTTACATTCTATTCTGTTCCATTCTATTCTTATTCCTTATTCTATACTTATTCTGTTCTATTCTATTCTATTCTATTCTATTCTATTCTATTCTATTCTATTTATACTCTATTCTTATTCCTTATCTATTCTATTCTATTCTATTCTATTCTTATTCTATTCTATTCTATTCTATTCTATTCTATTCTATTCTATTCCATTCCATTCCATTCCATTCCATTCCATTCTCTATTCTATTCCTATTTTATTTTTATTCCTTTTCTATTCTATTCTATTCTATTCTATTCTATTCTATTCTATTCTATTCTATTCTATTCTATTCCTATTCCTATTCCTATTCCTATTCTTATTCCTATTCCTATTCTATTCTTCTATATATAAAATGAAAGAGGTGTTTTTACAAAGTTAAAAAGATGACCACAAACACAGTATAAAATAGATCTAGAAATATAAAACTCATCCTGTTCCTTTCTTCTCTGCTTCTTGGCTCCTCAGCAGGCCATAATATTTAGGGAAGATGACCTCTGTATTGGCTAGAAGCCAAAGCCTGGTCTCTGTCCCAGAAATCTTGATCAGCACGGCTGTTTTCTGCCTACTGCTCCTTCTCTTCAAAACCTGGCAACGGATCCCAGCAGGGTTAAGGAAGCTCCGAGGGCCGAGGGGGTATCCCTTTATCGGAAACATCTTGGACCTCGGGAAAAACCCTCACCTGGCTTTGACCGCGCTGAGCCAGAAGTATGGAGACATCATGCTCATTCACCTCGGCGCAAGGCCGGTCGTGGTGCTGAGTGGGTTGGAAACCATCAAGCAAGCTCTGGTGAAGCAAGGGAGCGACTTTTCCAGGCGTCCAGACCTCTACAGCTTCCAGTTCATTGGTGATGGCCAGACTTTCACCTTTGGTCAGAATTCTGAGGAAAGCTGGCGCGTTCGCCGAAAGCTGGCCCAGAACGCACTCAAGACCTTTGCAGGCTCCACCAGCCCAAACTCATCGATGTGCCTGCTGGAGGAACATGTCTCCAAAGAAGCAGAGTACCTGGCCACCAAGTTCCGAGATCTGATGAAGGAGAAGGAGAGCTTTGAGCCCTTCCGGTACGTGGTCATCTCCGTGGTCAACGTCATCTGCGCCATGTGTTTCGGCAAGCGTTACGACCACGAGGATCAGGAACTTTTGAAGATAGTGGACATCAACAACGATTTTGGGTTGGTGGCCGCCTCCGGAAACCCGGCTGATTTCTTCCCGATCCTCCAATATCTTCCCAGTCGCAGCATGGAGGCTTTCAAAGATCTCAACCGGAGATTCAACGTGTTGATGAAGAAGCTGGTGGAAGAACATTATGAGGGCTTTGACAAGGTGTGTCATTAGAGATTAGTAATAGATAGATAGATATAGATATGGATATAGATATGGAATATATACAAGGCTTAGAGGGGAGCATTTGAAGGGGGTTATATCTTGACTTGACTTGAGTTGACTTGACTTGACTTGACTTGACTTTATTGTCATTGCATCTCGTACAACAAAATCAAACACCATCTTCAGTGCACATCATGACCATGACCATGAAAATAAACACAAACACACATCCTTCACACATTGAACCAGAAATCACCAACACTGCACCAACACTGCACTATACAGCAGAATTCAACAGAGCTCCTGCCCTGGGATAGAAGCTGTTTTTCATTTTTGTCCTTGTTTTTATTATCCTGTACCGTCTGCCAGATGATAATAGTTCAAAAAAAAGGGTTCCTTAATGCCTTAGAGAAGTTTTTCTCTTTTTTAAAAAAAAATATTTATAAATTTTTATTGAACAAAAACATTAAAAACAATGAACATGATGTAATCATCCTGACCAACCTATTTGTCATACATATCTATTGTGGATAGCATGTAATACAAATTTACATAATATTTATACATTACAGCAATTTTTCATATTTCTAATGTACTATCTTAACATCCTTATCTTATTTTAATTTTAAGTCCTTCTTTTTCCCCCACCATTGGTAAAATTTATCCCATACTTTATAGTATTCAGTCTCGTCCTGATTTTTTTATTTCCAATGTTAATTTATCCATTTCAACGCATGTCCATATCTTTTTAATTATCCCGGTTTCATCGGGGATTCCCTTAATTTTCCACTTTTGAGCATAAGCTAATCTTGCTGCCATGTGTTATTAGACACATTAGTTCTTTATTGTATCTCTCTGTATTGATTACCAGCAAAAAAAAAATTCTGGTTTTTCTCAATCTCAGCAACTTCAGAAAATGTGGACTTCAGATCCCAGGATTCTGGCTGAGGAATTCTGGGAGTTGAAGTCCCTATATCTTCTTAAGTTGATCACTTCTTATTTACTGAGTTAACCAGGATGGCCGAACATGCTAAGCAAAGCAAAGTAGGCACATCATGGCTTGATGTGATATATGAATTCCAGCACTGTGGTTTCAATATGACCTGAGTCAGCAGAGTATGTGGACCCAGCCAATCCTGGCTTATTCAACAAACCACGGTTATCCAATACTCTGTGAGAATGACTCCTAATGACCTAGTTGCAGGAAAAAAATGTTTGGCAATGTGGTCATCTAAATAACAAGGTGGGTTCTTTGTGAAATCGGGAGTCGTGTGGGCTGGAAGTTGGGGGTCACATTTGTCCCTCTGGTCTGTATTGCAGAATAACATCCGAGATATCACGGACTCCCTCATCAGCTTCTGCCAGGATAAAAACCCAAACTTAAATGCCAACGATGACCTGAAGGATAAGAACATTGTTGGTATCGTCAACGAACTCTTTGGAGCTGGTAAGAAACCTTTATCCTAAAAGCCTTTTTCTCCTTCCCCATTTGCTGATCATTTCAGTACCATCCATTTGACAGACAGGTGTCAATGCATTTAAAGAAAATAAACCTTTGTAGCCATCAAGTCCCGTCTCTGATTCATAATTCCCCCAGTTGCATAAGCTGGATCCTATGGCTCCATGTTTCTCAGCCATTACTGTATCTTCCCTGGGTTTTTTGGTCAAGACATAATTGACAGATGGGAAGGGTGATGAATCATCTTCCTCATCTCCGGTAGTCTTGCATATGATAATGACATTTTTAACTTGGGAGGGTATAACATATATATTTTTTTCAATAGAGTCCTCCAGATTTAATTTAACCCTATCGTTTGGAGACTTTTGAGAAGGAGTAGTACAGTGGCCTAGAGGTGGAGCTTCAGGCTAAAAACCTTTGGCAACTTGCAAAAACAAGGCCATTCCCTCAAGCCACTTTCTGACCATGCTTGATTTGATTCTCCAAACTGAGCTAAGGCACGAGGGCTTAGCAAAATGTTTGAACCCGGGAAGCATCAAAGCCCTTGAGGAGTTAGCATTAGGCATGGGCTTACATGTGTATGGTTAAACGAAAGCATCATCCAATCTGCAATTCTATGTTTGATGCTTAAATGCTTTTTTAATTTTTGTGTCTGTGCAGGATTTGATACTGTCACTACTGCCCTGTCCTGGTGCCTTCTGTATCTGGTGACTTACCCAGAAATCCAGAAGAGAATTCAAGAAGAACTAGGTAAATTACAAATCTGTTGACTTTTAAAAAGTCCCTTTCCAAGAGTGGCTTTCCATCCATCTTCTGTTCTTATCTATTTACTTATTTGTATCCCATTCTTATTATTTTTACAAATAACCCAAGGTGGGTGAATATATCCAACACACCTCCTATTTGGGGATATTGGGGTGGGAGAGAGTGATTAGCCCAAAGTCACCCAGTTGGCTTTCGTGGGACTTGAACTCACCATCTCCTATTATTGTTACCTTTATTGTCAGAGTGCAACATGTGTACAATGAGATTGTATTTTAAGTTCCTTCACCAGTAGACCAAACTGGCTCTTTATTCCTGTTTTTCTTCTGACCCACAGACCAAATCATTGGAAGAGAAAGGACCCCCAAGCAATCTGACCGTGCCATGCTGCCTTATTCTGAAGCTTTTATGTACGAGATGTTCAGGCATTCGTCCTTCGTTCCCTTCACAATCCCACATTGGTAAGATTGATTTGTCTGGAGAGTAACTTACGTTAGAAAATCAGAGGTCACTATGACACAAAGGAGTTAGCAAGTGATCCAGGGTCACCTCAGGTACCTTGAGTCTCACTTTCCAGAGAGTTTGGAACAAATATATGGGAGAAGAGCAGGCGGAGTTAAGCTTGTCACCAGCTTAGAGTTGTTAGGTCGCCACCAACAATCCAAATCCCAGCCCTCTTGAATTCCCTTGACTCTTCTCTAAAGCGCCAAATTAATATAGAACTTTAATTGACTAGATTCTTTTGTGCAGGCTGGAACAATAATTCTTGTGAACTGCAACTTCACGTAGAGTCCTGATCTTGTTGTGGGCGAACTCAGCTCATTGTGGTAGATCTGTTGTGGATTTCAACAAACTGTGCCTTAGTGTGATGTATGAACACATCTCCAAGGTGACTCTAGAGTAGTAGAAAATATTATTAGTGACTAGCAGGAGATAGCAGTTTGTCAACGGCTAGGCTTGCTATGTGCATAACCTCCATGTTTTTAAAAGAAGTTTATTCAATCTTATCAAAAGAACTGACTGTATTCATGCGGTTCTATTAATAGTAGTCAGCCTGTTACCGCAAATATTTTCTTTCTCTTTAGCACCACTAGAGACACTGCACTGAATGGCTTCTACATTCCAAAAGATACCTGCGTGTTTGTGAACCAATGGCAGGTCAACCACGATCCGTAAGTATTGCCAAGAACAGCTCTCTAACTCCTTGCCAAGGCAAGCAATATAAAAGAATTCTACATGCAATGGATTAAAATCTGGGTTGCTTTTAGGGCCATGCAGCGCCTTAGATGTCAGACATGGCTGCTTTAAAGAGCTGTAGTAAGGGCCTACTGCGACGGGTTCGGACTTGACTTTGCAACTAACCACAGTAAGGGCTAGTATGACACTTTTGCACATTTAAAAAACCCACCTTTGTGGAACTGAATCAGACTTTTCACAGCCTCTGTAGCTAGTTGCAATTGTGGTTGTAAGTCAATCTTGAATATCCCCGTATTTGGGATTAAGTAGTAGTAGAAAAAGTAACAAGGGCTTCAGAGGCTTCTTACAAGTCTTTGGGTGGGTGGAAATGCTGTCTGGTCCTTTCCATCTTTATTCTAGATTCAGATTTTCCAGCCTTGGAAACTTCTAGGTTTGTGGACTTCAGTTCCCAGAATGCTCATCGATGGCCATTGCTGGCAGTGGAGTTCTGGGATTTGAAGTCCACACACCTGGGAATTTACATTTAGAGGAATTGCGGGCATATGCTGCGTCAGTTTAATTCAGATCATTTAACAGAACATCTAATTCCTGAAGAGGTATGTGTTGGTACGCTCACAAAAGATCTACCTGATTGCCAAATCCATTTGGCAATTGGAAGATCTGGCTAAAAGATCTGGATGACATCTCCACAAAACCTTACTAGGTTCCATATAGGTTATTACGGAAGGAGCAGATTGGCAAATTTTGGAAGTCATGTTCCACCCCACCTGTAGTTGCTTTAATCTGGCTAGGCGAAGGACATTTGAATGTGTGCTTTCTCCTCATCTGCTTTGAGAGTTTTGCAAAGAGATAACCTCGATCAGGGGGTCTCCAACCTTGACAACTTTAAGACCTGTGGACTTCAACTCCCAGAATTCCTCAGCCAGTTGGAGGTTGGAGACCCCTGACCAAGATGGTGTGTTTGCTTTTTTTATTTTTTCCCCCAGGAAACTTTGGAAGGAGCCTTCTGTTTTCAACCCAGACCGATTCCTTGCGACCGATGGGACAGGAATAAACCGAGCAGAGTGTGAAAAAGTGATGACTTTTGGCTTGGGCAAAAGGCAATGCATTGGACAGAACATTGCAAAATGGGAGGTGTTCCTGTTTCTGACGACTTTGGTGCAAAAACTGGAATTCACTCTGTCTGGCAGAGAGATGATGGATGCAACTCCCCAGTACGGCCTGACCATGAAATACAAGAAATGTGAACACTTCCGGGTCAAGCCCCGTTTCTAGCATGGAAAATCCAGAAAGAATGGAGACTGACCCTTGCCCAGAAAGGAGGAAGAGGGGTTACATATTCTGATAGGATTTGTTGCTTGGTTTGGAGTGGCTCAGCCACCCCCAATGATGTTACTAGCTTGCTGCAATGTATATCTGGGGAATTTATATATCTTGGGGATAATCTCATTAGGTCTTTTATTCACGCAAGAACATCCTTTGAATTGTCTCAGAACGTAAGCTGATCTAAACAGGTGCTGGATTTGAACCTTGAATAATCCTGTGTATTTGTGACTGGACAATTCACACTGAATGGAAGGGTTTTTCCAACGTGGCGTTATTTCATGAGGTTCTTGCCACAGGTGTAAAAACTATATAGCAGGTAGAGCTGAGAAGCACCATGATGAATTGTTACAGCTGGGAAGTCTTGCTGAAAAGGCATTTCTAAAATTCTGCGCTTCTATTGGAACGCGGACAGGATTTCCATGTATAATATACAGCATATTCTTTGTATGTCAAAGGTAGAGTCCTTCAGACTTGTTGTCCATGTGCAAGAGGAATGTTATCAACACATCTAGGCACACCAAAGTAGGTAGCCATCCATATGTGCAAATTCCAGTTCTCCTTCTCAGATGCTCAGCCATACAAAATAAAGAAGATAGGTTGTTGTTGTTTTGCAAGGGATAGCATCTGGAACTTTGCAAATAACAGGGAGAGAAGCAGAGTCCAAATCAGGGGTCTCCAACCTTGGCAACTTTAAGACTTGTGGACTTCAACTCCACAAGGTTGGAGACCCCCTGATCTAAATCTTTGCAAGAGGACAGAAATGCAACCTGGATCTATTTGCAAGAGAACGGGGTGCAGTGGAAGTAGAATTTTGCAAGGTGACATGGGTGGAATCTGGATCTAGATCTTGGCAAACAAGATCTGGGCCTAGATATTGGCATAGGGATGTTCTGGTCTAGATCTCTACAAAGTGACAGGGATGGGATCTAAATCATTGCAAGATTACAGGGAAGGGATCGATCTAGAAAGTAGGCGGGATGGTGCTACCTAAAACCTATCATACACTTGTCTTTATTGGCCATTTGTGTCATGACTTTGAACTTGCCGCTGTCTCTTATCGTAATCTACCTCGCAGGCTTTCTTATAGAAGAAATAATATGTATACTTCCTTGGCATTCTTAGAGGAAAACTGAAATTAAAATATGACAAAAATGAACTAAACATAGGCATTTTAAGTGTGACAACTAGGGAATTATGCTTGATAAAGGTGCTTTGAATTATTAAATGCACTTTATGTCTCAATTATCTGCCTAAGAGGCACTGATTCTGCTGAAGTGTGTGTCAAATTCTAGCGTAGAGATTAAAATTTAGGGGACCCAGAAGGTCTCTATGAAGCATTGTATATATTGTAAAAATAAAAATAAAAAACGGCTTTCTATGAGATGGTTTCGAGTTTGTCAATTGCTCTTTTAAAGGAAAATCAGATAATATTTTAAAGGGATACAAGCCTTTAGGAAAACAGTAATAAAAATGACAACCTGATGCTTTTCTGAATAACATGTTGGGGATTTTGAGTTACACATTCTTGCAGATTTTGCTACATGATGAAAAGAGTTTCCCCAGAAAGTTTTGACGTTACGACATTTCAAGATCTGGGTTATGATCTAGCTCAGGGGTCTCCAACCTTGGCAATTTTAAACCTGGAGGACTTCAACTCCCAGAATTCCCCAGCCAGTTTTGCGGACTTCAATTCCCAGAATGCTGGCTGGGGAATTCTGGGAGTTAAAGTCCTCCAGGCTTAAAATTGCCATGGTTGGAGACCCCTGAGTTAGCTCACTATTTCTCAACCTTAGCAACTTTTAAGACCCCTAAACTTCCATGCCCTTGGCAGTTATAAAAATAGAGTAACATAAATGAATACAACTCCCATAAGTCCCCAACTAGGGGGATTCTGGGAGTTGAAGTCCAACGCATCTTAAAAAGCATGCGAGGTGAGGAATTCTGGGAATTGGAGTCCTGACAACTTTTAAGGTTGAAAAACGTCCACCGAGCTTCCCGAAGCGTCCCCAAATATCGCCAATGCGCATGCCCAGCACTCGGCCCGAACCTTTCCTACCCTCCTCTTACGCATGCGCCCTCCGAGTACCTTCCCACGAAGACCATCGCCTCTGCGTCTCATCCCTAGACAGCCTTAAAAGCGAGGCGGAAGCGGAAGTGACGCCTACTTCCCCTGCTGGGCGACATTTCCGGAGCAAAGGCGTCTGAAAAGAAGAGTCGAGCGAGTTCCTCGGCTGCTCGTCCCAGGTGTGGAAGCGGTCGCGGGGAGGCCTGTGCGGGGCCCGCCGGCGCCCCTCTCCGCCGTTCCGAGGGCCAGGGCCGCGGCTGCTCCGCCGCTCCCCCGCCTGGGGGGCTGTTCAGGCAGAGGCGCGAGGGGAGCGGCCACGCCCCCTTTGGGAGGGGAGTGACGTCACTCCCTCCCCCCTCCCTTTCCCCCAGTTCAGTACATGGGCCAGAATGAAGAGGTTGGGGTCCCCGAAAGGCGAAGACCCGGGTTCGAGTCTCACCTTTGCCATGATGGTCCTGGGGTGTGTGTGTGGCTCCCCCTCCCCCTTAAAAGGGAACTTACTTAGGGGAGTCCCCCCAAGTTTAATGGGGGAGCCTCCCCCTCCCCATTTTATCCTCCCCCTGATGGATGGAGAAGGGAACTGTCCAAAGGGGTTCGCTGGGCTTCCAGTGCAGGCTTTGAACCTGCAACCTCAGCCAATTTCATACGTGTGGGCAACAGATCCCAGAATCCCCAGCCAGCACGCCTTTGTCCACCTGCCCGTCTGTCGGATAGGTAGACTGGTGGGTGGATGGACAGATAGGTTGATGGACAGATAGATTGATGGACAGATGGGTTGATGGACAGATGGGTTGATGGACAGATAGGTTGATGGACAGATAGGTTGATGGACAGATAGGTGGATGGACAGATAGGTGGACGGACAGATAGGTTGATGGACAGATAGGTGGATGGACAGATAGGTGGATGGACAGATAGACGGACGGACAGAAAGGTTGATGGACAGATAGGCGGACGGACAGATAGGTTGATGGACAGATAGGCGGACGGACAGATAAGTTGATGGACAGATAGGCGGACGGACAGATAAGTTGATCGACGTACAAAAGCGACTGGTGGGCAGACAGAACGGACCACTAAACCCCTTGAATAACTGGGCAATCGCTCTCGCTTAACCTGATCTACGGGCCAGGCTGTTTGGTAGTGGATTAAAAAAAAAAGATTTAATCCTTACAAAGTATCTCAAGGATTATTTCAGGAGCCCTGGGTGCCTTCTGAGCCTGGTTGTTCGCTTGTGGGCATTTCATCGCCCAATGTCATCAGTGCAACCAAGCTCAGAGAGCATCAAGGACCCTCCAGTCCTCCTCCACTCCACAAACCCCACTCCCTCCTAGCACTGACGATGTTCCCTAGATGGGTAATGAAATGTCTGCAAGAAAATCACCAAGTTCAGAGATCAACAAGGACAGCACAGTCCTCCTCCTCCTCCTCCTCTCTCCACAAACCCTACTCCCTCCTAGCACTGATGATGTTCCCTAGTTGGGTAATGAAACGTCCACAAGAAAAACACCAAGCTCAGAGAGCGTCAAGGATTCCACGGTTCAACCCTGAGCTAAAATATGCTCCTCTGGTGCGATATGTGTTAGTTCATCACCCCTTTGACTGTTTTGCAGCAATCGCGGGAATCATGGCTACGGATTGGCTCGGAAGCATCGTCTCGATCAATTGTGGAGACAGCTTGGGAGTGTACCAGGGAAGAGTGTCTGCTGTGAATCAAGCCAGCCAGACAATTTCACTCACGCGACCTTTCCATAACGGAGTCAAGTGTTTGGTGCCAGAGGTTACCTTCAGGTAAATGCTCCTCTCTGACTCTTCATTGAGGCTTGAAAACTGTTGTAGTTTTTTTCTTTCTTTCTGAAAACACACATTGCAAGAAGCATTACAAGATTTATGGTGTGCATCGTTTATGCTTCATTTTTTTTCAGGGCTTCTAGCTGTTGTCAAATTGAGTTGCTGTCTTCTTTTTTTTTATTATAAATTTGTGCAATGTATGTTTATAAGGGAGGTGGGTTGTTTGGAAACCCAGCAGCCTGGAAGTCTGTCCATGCGTACAAAAAGGAGCTACAGAATGGCTTGTTGCATCTGAACATCGTTTACAACTCGTAATCTCAGAGAAAAGGTTTCACAAACTTGCCACTTTTTTTTCCCCCTCCACTTACCGCATTTGTATTTTGGGAAAGGTTCTTCTGGCAGTGTAGTTTCTTGATGGTTAAACTATGAACCAGGATGATGTATGTTCCTATATAGCACTCTTTCCCCAACCGGAAGCCCTCAAGATGCGTAGCTCTTCCTTTTCTACCCCACGCGGGCTAGCAGGATGCGATGAGAGGCAAGCACTCTGGCCAGTTAACCTCATCTCTGATCCTCTTCCCCCCTGTTTAGGGCTGGGGATATCACTGAGCTGAAGATCCTGGAGATTCCAGGCCTTGGCGATAACGGACCATGTGGAGACTTCCAGCACCCCGACCTTGGCATTCCTGTTCTCGAGTGCCCGGGTGGTGCCAGTCAGAACGGCACTGGAAAATTGCTGAGGAAGCCTACCAGTGCTCCGCAGAACATCCCCAGGAGAACGGACGTGAAGGCCCAAGAGGCTGCTCTTTCTCCTCAGCTGCACCCCTGTTCGAAAAGCTACATGGACCGACACATGGAATCCTTGAACCCCTCCAAAAACTTCCGCCGCAGGCACAACTCGTGTGAGTCTCTCCTAGGACTTCATTCCATGGTTCCACCTTGGTGTGGCTGTGGTTACGGTCTGTTGCTCTGCCTGGTTTCTGTATGACAAAAGGCCCCCCAACCGTTGGGGCACCGTGGACTGGTGGTTGCGGCTGATCGGCCGCCGGCCCCGCCAGGAGCCAAAGCAGAGGAGGAGGTGTGGGAGTCAAGGTCAGCATCAGGGCAACCCGAGAGCCCCAAGGGGGAAGAGGGAATGGAGCTGGCAGAGAGAGAGAGGCGGAGCCTGGGCCGTCCGTCAGCCCTCAAAGGGAGAATCAACAGCCCCTTAGGTCTGGAGGTGGCTGATGAGGAAGAGGAGGAACAGCTGGGTCCAGTGCCTGACGCGTGGATGCGCAGAAGGCAGAGAGGAGGAGAGCAGTGGAAATCTATGGGCGGGTCCTTGGGATGGAAGAGCCAGGTCTGGAGGTGGCTGATGAGGAAGAGGAGGAACAGCTGGGTCCAGTGCCTGACGCGCGAATGTGCAGAAGGCAGAGGAGAGGAGAGCAGTGGAAATCTATGGGCGGGTCCTTGGGATGGAAGAGCCAGGTCTGGAGGTGGCTGATGAGAAAGAGGAGGAACAGCTGGGTCCAGTGCCTGACGCGCGGATGCGCAGAAGGCAGAGGAGAGGAGAGCAGTGGAAATCTACGGGCTGGTCCTTCGGATGGAAGAGCCACCGCTGCTAGTGAAGCCCCCCACCCGAGCTCTGGGGATAAAAGGAAGGGGGTGGAGATGAATAGATGTGACAGATGAGTATTCATCTCCCGGTCACCTGGACTTATTAGCCTGCAGTGAGAGAGAAGCATTTTGCCAGGGCTGCTCCTAATAAAGGAATCGTGGAGTTAATTTCAGAGGGTTTGCTGTGTTTGGGGAGCTGGGTCAGAACACCGGTTCCATGGAGAGAGGTTTTTCCGTGGACCGGAAGGGGCGTGGTTTTGGAGACTGCCAGCATCCCACGGATGGGGCTTTGCTTGTTTCCACGGCCTGCTTTCTGGGGCTTTGGGGGGGGGGTCCCTGCCTTTGGCTCTCTCCTCGAAAGCAAACCCCGGGCTCTTCTGACCTGTGTCCTCTTCCCTCCCAGGGTCGTCCAGTAGCCGTCATCCCAACCAAGCGACCCCCAAAAAGAGCGGCCTGAAGAACGGCCAGATGAAGAGCAAGGACGACGAATGCTTTGGAGACGACATCGAAGAGATCCCGGACACCGATTTTGACTTCGAGGGCAACCTGGCCCTCTTCGACAAGGCCGCGGTATTTGAAGAGATAGAAACCTATGAGAGGAAGGGCGGGACCCGCTCCCGGGGCACACCCAGCGAGAAGGCGGCCGCCCGCTACCGCCATGACGAGAACATCCTGGAGTCTGAGCCCATCGTCTACCGGAGGATCACCGTCCCCCAGGCGAGCAAAGAGTTCTGCACGGGTAGGTTGGTATTTTCACACGGTCACAGGTAGTCCTTGACTTAACGGCGGTTTATTTAGTGACCGCTCGAAGTAAAAAATTGATTTATGACCCACTTTTCACAATTCCCAGCCGTTGTAGCATCCCCGTCACGTGATCAAAATCCAGGCACTTGGCAACTGGCTCGTATTTATGATGGGGGTGACGTGACAAGGAAAGCCACTGAGAACCCAGAACCATGTTGCTAACTTTAACAGCTGCAGTGCTTCGCTTAACAACGGTGGCAAGGAAGGTCGTAACATGGGGGCAAATCTTGCCCAACGACTGTCTCGCTTAGTAACAGAAGTTTTGGCTAAACTGAGGTGGCAAGTCGAGAGCTTCCTGTAAACCTTAGGGTGTTGCTTTGAAAAGGAAGTCCGAAGACCAGAAGTGGCTACTCTCAAAGTCTTCTTCAGATGTTCTCTGAAGCGATTGGAGGAAGCGGATGTGTCCGGCCACCACTGGCCCTCTCCTCTGAACGGTGGCCCAGTTGCCTTCAGCAAATCCGATTAGGTCTCACAGCAGAGCCGTGATTCTCGCGTGACTCGTTTCAATGGAGGGAGACCGCAGCCTAACAGAGGGAAAAGTGGTTTGAATAGAATTCTTTTATTGGCCAAGTGTGATTGGACACACAAGGAATTTGTCTTGGTGCAAATGCTCTCAGTGTACATCAAAGAAAAGAGACATTCATCAGGAGTCAAGAATCATCAGGCACAACACTTAATGATAGTCATGGGGTACAATGAGCAATCAAAACATACTAGGAAACAGTCAATGTCAATCCTAAGGATACAAGTGACAAAGTTACAGTCACACAGTCACAAGTGGGAGGGGATGGGTGATAAGGAGTGATGAGAAGATTAATAGTAATAGTAATGCAGACTTTGTAAATAGTTGGTCAGTGTTGCTATTTGTTTTAGCAGAGTGATGGCTTTCGGGAAAAGCTGTTCTTGCGTCTAGTTGTTCTGGTGTGCAGCGCTCTTTAGCGTCGTTTTGAGGGAAGGAGTTTTATGTCCAGGATGTGAGGGGACTGTAAACATTTTCACAGCCCTCTTTTTGACTTGCGTAAGATACAGGTCCTCAATTGAAGGCAGGTGGGTAATAATTGTTTTTTCTATAGTCCTAATTATCCTCTGAAGTCTGTGTCTGTCCTGTTGGGTTGCAGAACCAAATCTGACAGTTACAGAGTTGCAGATGACAGAGTCAATCATTCCTCAGTAGAACTGGATCAGCACCTCCTTGGGCAGGCAAAAAGCCTTATTGGGGTTGCAGGCAACCAAGCGAAGCCAGCAGTTGTGATAAGGCATGGAGCAAACGGGGGCAGGATTTGGCATCAATGGGAATTAAAACGAAGCGTAACGGCCTCCTTCGGTGCCCCATTGCAAAGCTGTGTCGGCAGCATCTACCTTGGGAGTTGGCAACCCCGGCGATGCCATATCCCATCCTAAGCTCGTTCGTTCTCCTCTTCGATCTCCCAGCCCTGGTGTAATTTAAATCTGGCTCTGGGCCAGCCTCCGGTTGCAGCTCCGTCATTACACATTTTGTTTTCCTCCAGCTTTACACGCTACCTTGTTTTTTTGTTTTTTTTTTACATCGCCGCCCGCCTTCACTGAGTTTATTTAAGCCCGTCTGGTTGTGATAAGCTGGTCCAACTGGTTGCCCTTGCGTGAGGGAGAAGCAGGGAGGGGAATCCTCTGGGTTCTCTCACGCCCCCATCCGAGAGCAACGAATGCAGCCTCGTCACTGTGTAATTGCACGCCTTATCTTTCTCCTGCTCCCAACGAGATTCCCCTTACATATGAAGGGCCCTTAGGAGCCAAGAGCTGCGAAGGCACGCAAGGCCAGCAAACGAGGGTGATGAAAGAGGCCTGTTTCCCCTGGAAAGTAGCCCAGCCCTGCACACCCTCACCATTCACCACCTCCGGGGCTCCAAGGCAGTGCACATAGTCCTCAGGTTACACCCAGTTGCTTAGCGCTTGCTTACTTCCCAAACTTTGCTCGGGGCAAGCGGTGGGCTTGCATATAAAACCCCCATGTTCACAGCATGAGAAGAGTTGGAAGGGGCTTTGGAGGGGGTCTTCTAGTCCAGCCCCCTGCTTGAGCTGTTAGGAATGATAGTCACCTAACAGTTGGGTTGGCAATGTATAAACCAGGATAGTCATTTAATACTGCTGTATCTTGAAGAGAACACTGTACTTGTGATTGGCTGAGGTTCCTCCAACGGCCATGAGATGGAGCCAGAAACCTGGTTCTTGCATTTGCCTTTTGCCTGATCGTCGTTCTGCTTGGATTGCTGTGAGTCTTGCAACTGTTCGCAAACTCTGTTTACTGAATTTTGTTTATGATACTGGACTTCATTTTTGGATTATCCCTGGACTGATACTAACTGCTTTAACCGTGTATGATTTGGACTGTTGGTTGGACTTTGTTTACCCGTTTACTGGATGTAAAACCTACATTTTACTATTCAGTGTATCTGTATGCTGGTTGTGTGTTATTCATTCCCACTCTCACTATGTTTCCCTGAGTGCACTCATTCTCCTAACGGGGAATACCTCAACAGGAGACCCTCTACCAGTGGTAGTTAATCTTTTCGGCACCGAGTGCTGAAACGGGAGCGCGCACACACCAAACAGGAACCAAGTGCTGAAATACCCGCTGAAAACCCACTGACAAGAAATTCCTCCTTAATTCCAGGTCGCTTCTCTCCTTGATAAGTTTCCATCCATTGTTTCTTGTCCTGCCTTCAGGTGCTTTGGAGAATAGCTTGACCTCCCCTCTTCTTTGTGTGATGTCTCATTAATGACCACTTGAGCAGTGGTCGCCAACCAGTGGACCAGGGACCACTGGTGGTTCATGAGAAAATTTTGGTGGTACGCAGAGAAATGTCCCCCCCAAAGTAATTAATCCAGGTTGTGTGGGAACACAAGGCTGCGCCACCCACATGGCCTGTGGGAACACAAGGCTTGTGTTGCTTGCATTGTGAACAACATGAGGTAGTGAGGGAAGGGGGAAGAGGGGGGACGGGGGGACTTGCCCCACTCGTCCCACGTGCCTGGCCTGGCCACTGGGCTGCTTCTTTCCAGTGCTTTCTTCTTTTGCTTTTCGCTGCACGCAAGGAAAGCAGCAGCCAAAGCAGTAAAGGTCTTTCTTTCTCTCCCCCAAACTCTGCCAGAAATGAGTCTTTGGGTCCCTGCAAGGCCTCCTGCTCCAAGAGGCTCACAAAGACTCATTCCTGGCAGAGTTTGGGGGAGAGAAAGAAAGACTTCTGCTGCTTCTGCTGCTTTCCTTGCACGAAGCCAAAAGTCTCTCTCTCTCCCTCCCCCCCCCACCCCCCCACAGGCGCACGGAGCTGGGGACTGGATCCTGCAATCCCAAATAAAGAATGATCGGTCGGTAGGAAAACGGGGTGGGGGATGTTCCTGCAGACTTTTGGGGGGGATTTTCCCAGGGTCTCTGGTCGGCGGGATTTAAAATGATGAGTTTGGTGGTCCCTGAGGTCCAAAAGGTTGGCGACCCCTGCACTTGAGGACTACCTATATTACTGTAATCAGGGCTGGTGCCTCTCTGACTTTGAACATATAGGACTGTTTCTTTTGCAATAAAGTTATCACTGTTGTTGTCGGCGTTTCAAGAACAAAGTAGCCGTAGCATTGATACTTAATGTAATAAAGCCGATAAAGATAAGGTCGGGACTTTAATTGGCTGTGAACACGCAAGGTCAAACTACACACTGCTTGGCCTCTCTTTTTCTGTGCAATAAATAAGCTTGTCAACAAGAGACATTAAACAACTTCTTGTTGCCAGCTGGGTTCACAAGTCACGGTTCCCTTCGATTTGATTGAGATCACCCATCCCTCTAAAGCCAAACCCAGATTCTATTATTCTTAAAAAACCCCAATCTTGGGGTTACTCAGGCAGGTGTCCTCTAAAGATTTGGCATTGAGACTACTAAGAGTCTACTAAAATAGTCTTGCAGAATAATCATCTTTTTTCTTTGCATAGTTTTACCTTAAGGAAGGAATGAGGTTCTCGTATGTGAGGGGCTGCCCCAGAGAGGAGGAAGGGGGCCAAGCTATTTTCTAAAGCACCCGAAAGCCAGACAAAGAACAATGGATGGAAATTGAACAAGGAGAGATTCAACCTGGAAATAAGGACAGTGAGAGCAATCATGGAACAGAAGTTGCCTCTGGAAGTTGTGGGAGCTTCATCATTGGAGGCTTTCAAGAAGAGAGTGGACTGCCAACTGTCAGAAATGGTGTAGGGTCTCCTGCTTGGGTGGGGGTGTTGCACGAGATGACCTACAAGGTCCCTTACAACTCTGTTAATCTGTAACAATGGGCTCTGGTAGCTGAAAAAAGTCTCAGTAACTCCTTTAGCGTGATGGAGGTGTTGGTAACTGTAGTTCACCACATCTGGACGGCCACAACATCCCTGCTTCTTGAAGGTATGGATTCTGTACATCAGCTCTGAAACCAGCTTACGTCTCTCACATGCTGGCTTATAGAATTGGGAAGGCACATAGTTCCTTCCTTGAGCTTTGTATGACCCACTTTGTCGACGGTCCTAAAGAACTCTGGGATGGGATGGCCAAGTTTAAAAGGGTCAAGTCCCATTGCTTAAACCTGGCCTTCCTTTGGATGGTGACTTAGGTGATGGATCTGCCCTCCTCCTTTTGTTCAAGGGCCCATGGATAACTCTCCTCCAATTCTGCGTTTCAGATTCCGGCTTGGTCGTCCCGAGCGTCTCTTACGAGCTGCACAAAAAGCTGCTTTCCGTGGCCGAGAAGCATGGCTTGACTCTTGAGCGGAGGTTGGAAATGACAGGTGTGTGCGCCAGCCAGATGGCCCTGAGTTTGCTCGGAGGACCCAACAGGTAAATGGATTCAAAGTTCCTTTTCTCAGAGAAGCAACAAGCTTTTCTCCTCTGCACCTTGTGTCAGCTTTGGAAGCCATATTGAGACCAGATGCTCCCACGCTGCCACATTTTGAGCCTGGGAAAATGGGAGGGGGGAATTTCTTGGAGTGTATATGTAGTTAGACATAACAACATTCTTTTTCTAATTCAAGGTCATGTCATTTCTGCACCTGGGTGAGGGGAAGTCTCAAGTTGGGATGGATGGCAATTGGGGCATGGGATGCGATGATTGCTGAGTGGGTGGATTTGTAGTTTTTACTTATTGCAAGGAAGCCCAGAACTTTCAGATTCAGAATTCCCCGGATGTGCCAGTTTACTGTCCAATTAAAACAGAACTTTTGAGAAGATGTCTCAGAGTTGTTTGTTGGCGTGGAGGTTTCCTGGAACGCTGACACCTTAGTCTGTAAATTCACACTTCAACAAAACTCAATCCTCCTTTGCTTCCAGGCTGAACCCTAAAAACATTCACCAGCGACCCATCGTGGCCTTGTTGTGTGGCCCCCACGTGAAAGGGGCCCAGGGGATCAGCTGTGGTCGGCACCTCTCCAATCACGACGTCGACGTCATTCTGTTCCTCCCCAATTTCGTCAAGATGCTGGAATCGATCACCAACGAGCTGACGCTCTTCAGCAAGACAGAAGGCCAGCAGGTGTCCAGCATTAAAGGTAATAGCAAATGGAGCCTTTTAAATTAGACGATGAATACGATGAACGGTTGCAGGAACTGGGCAGGGCTAGTCTAGGGAAGAGAAGGGAAGGACCAGGGGAGACAGGATAGCAGTCTTCCAATATTTGAGGGGCTGCCACAGAGAGGAGGAAGGAGTCAAGCTGTTTTCCAAGACAAGGAATAATGGATGGAAGCTGAACAAGGAGAGATTCAACCTGGAAATAAGGAGGAATTTTCTGACAGGGAGAACAATCAACCCATGGAACAGAAGTTGCCTTTGGAAGTTGTGGGAGCTTCATCCCTGGAGGCTTTCAAGAAGAGACTGGACTGCCTTCTGTCAGAAATGGTGTAGGGTCTCCTGCTTGGGTTGAACTAGATGACCTACAAGGTCCCTCCCAACTCTGTTAATCTGTTAAATTATCTCTCAATTCTTATTAGCAAGACCCCACAATCATCAAACACCATAAAGGTAAGCCTAAAACACAAAGAGAAAGACGGGATGAAACTTTAAAAGGCTGCCTGCTACTTAGAATTATTCCAGATCAAATTTCCTCGATTTTGCCACCGCCTAAAACCAAGACATTAAGACGCGTGAATCGGGGTGTTCCCAGCACTCCATAAAACAATCCATTCCAGGGATTCAGAAGTGGAACCCTCTAAAAGGCAGGTACCCATTTCAATGTTGGCTCGTGCTACAATTAATTCGTGCTTTTTGGACTCCTGTGAACCTTCCACAAACACATTTCATGGGGCGAGGTCAACATTTGATATCTCTTAAAAAGTCTTTTAAGGGTTTTTAAAATCAAATGTCTTTGTTTTAAAGTGGGGGGGGGAGGCTTAGGAAGAAAGTGAGCTGATCAAAATTGTACTTCAGGGCGGTGGGGGCAGATTTGGAATATTTTGGTTGCTAGTGTCCGAGGCGCAACTGGAAGACGCCAAGGAAGTTTTGAGGTCCATTGAGGCTTCTAGATGCGGGAAGCATTAGCTATTTTGACCGCCTGTTCCAGTTTGAATCTGACCAGCTCCATCTAGTGGGGAAAATGCTGGTTTGTTTTTCCATCTCAGGGATACAACCTGAACAGGTTGAATCCGGTCGCAGGCCGAGGCGACAGATTAGACCAGAGGTCCCCAAACTTGGCAACTTTAAGACTTGTGGACTTCCACTCCCAGAATTCCTCAGCCAGCTTTGTAGATATTTTCACAGCCCTCTTTTTGACTCGTGCAGTGTACAGGTCCTCAATGGAAGGCAGGTTGGTAGTAATTGTTTTTTCTGCAGCTCCTAATTGCTTTCTGGAGTCTGTGTCTGTCCTGTTGGGTTGCAGAACCAAACCAGACAGCGATAAGAGGTGCAGATCAGTGGTGTGATTCAATTTTTTTTTTACTGCTGGTTCTGTGGGCGCGGCTTGGTGGGCATGGAAGGGGAAGGATACTGTAAAACCTCAGCTGGTTCTCTGAACTACTCAAAATTTCCGCTGCCGGTTCTCCAGAACTGGTCAGAACCTGCTGAATACCACCTCTGGTGCAGATGACAGACTCAATCATTCCTCTGTAGAACTGGATCAACAGCTCCTTGGGCAGTTTGAGCTTTCTGAGTTGGTGCAGAAAGAACCTTCTTTGTTGGGTTTATTTGATGACGTTTTTGATGTTAAGTGTAATGTTGAGTTTCAGACGGGTGGGATTCAATTTTTTTAACAACTGGTTCTGTGGGCGTGGCTAAGTTGGTGGGTGTGGCTTGGTGGTCATGTTATTGGCTGGGCATGGCCAACAATATCACTAACGTTGAGGCACGCATCTCCTCGCCTGGCCTCTCATGACTGTAGGGAAGCTGCAACAGTCGTAAGTGTGAAAAAGGGTCATAAGTCACTTATTTCAGGGCCATTGTAACTTTGAATGGTCACTCCACACAAGCAAAGTACCAGCAAAGGAGGGGAAAAAAACCTCCAGAGAAGTTCCTGAGACAGGAAGTCTAGTCCTGCCAAGAATGTAATAAGGGTTAACGGAGAGGCAGTTTCTGTAAGCAACACCAGAATGTTTCCTTCCTGCCTTCCTTACAGGATTAGCCCAGTAATGTCTTCTAACAATCGGTTCTCCGAACTGCTTAGAATGTTAACAACCGGTTCTAGCGAATAGGTGCAAACCTGTAGAATCCCACCCCTGATTTCAGACACTCCATTCGCAAATGCCTAATGCCTTCTCTTTCCTCCCCCCTAGATCTTCCAGAGACGCCTGTTGACTTAGTCATCAACTGCTTGGATTGCCACGAGAACATTTTCCTGAGGGATCAGCCTTGGTACAAAGCTGCCGTAGACTGGGCCAACCAGAACAGAGCCCCCGTCCTGAGCTTGGACCCTCCGGTGAATGAAATGGAACAAGAAATCGACGCCAAGTGGTCTCTGGCCCTGGGCCTGCCGTTGCCGCTGGGCGAGAGGGCCGGCCGGCTGTACCTGTGTGACATCGGCATCCCGCAGAAAGTGTTCCAGGAGGTGGGCATCAATTACCACTCGCCTTTCGGCTGCAAATTTGTCATCCCTCTGCACTCGACCTAAAGGAGAGGGAAGCCTGGCCTTGTCGTCCAGGGAGAAGACAAACCCAGTGGATCCTGACCGTATGGACACTTTTTGTGGATGCCTTAAGAGGGGGGGGGGAAGTATTTTTTTAAAAACTTCTGGCCGTGTTTCTTCTCCAAAGGAACACCGTCGCTGGCAGCAGGTCAAGAGAAAGCGCAAGGATTCCCCTTCTTCGGAGCCATCCGTGCCCCTGTGCCGTTGCCTAGAGGCAGCTCACGTTAATGGTGGGACGATGAGCAGGAATGTCCTCTTTTAACGCCAGGGGCCTTGCTTTGCTTGGTTGCGTTACCTGACCATTGTGATTTTTCTTTCACACTTTTTTTGGGGGGTGGGGTTTTTTGCTGTTTTTCAGCGCTAGAGTGGGGGACAGGTTGCTTGGGGTGCCTACCTCGGCCTTCCACGATCACCAATGAAATGACTGCCATTCAGCTGGGCTCTTGCTAGTCCTCCTTTTCTTTCAAGCTCAAAGGTTCTTGGGCTTCCCGCGTTGAGGTCGCCATCGGGTGGCGATCGCTTGCCTCCATTCCAGGGCCAGCCCTCGCTTCTTACTCACGGCTCAAACGAGCCATTGCTTCTCCTGCTGTGGGCCCATTGAGTGATCGGTGCGTGTGTGGGTGTCGCGAAGGACACCTGGAGTGATGGAGGAGCGGAGGGGATCGTGCCGACTTTTAGGTTTCCACCGTTGCTCGCGTCCTGCCATCTTACTGCGAAGGGCGCGCGCGGATTAATGGCTGTTCCTTTTCTGTGTGTGTGGTGTGCATGGAGTGCGAGACTGCGTGCACAAGACCAAAAGAACTAGCTTTGTTGGGCCCATGCCATTCCCATTGGACACAAAGGTCCAGGAAGATTTAAGCGCTCGACCCGGGCACAATGGTCTACTTCCCTTTAGAATGGGCACACAGCGTGGTGCTCGTATGGAGCGATAGAACAGATGCGATGTTCTGTCAGTTAGTCCGGAACACCTTGTAAGAGGCAACTGGCTGGCAACAATTATGGTTCTGCACACTGAAAAGCCCATGAAGCACTCTTTCTGTAGGCGTCGTCATAGCTTGGCTCCTCTTCTGTTTCTCCCATTTTTGTGGGGAATTGTCTTACGATGACTCTGTGAGGAACTGGGTCTTGTTGCCGTGTGTGTGTGTGTGTGTGTGTGTGTCTTGTTCCTGCAGTCCTTAGGCGCCGTCTAGATTTCAGGGGCTCCAGGTTTTTAACGAAGTGGGAAGCTTCCAAGAAATCCACCACCACGCTCAGCCTTTTCTCGTCTCCAAAGATGCCGTGCAGAATTCTCATGAATCACATTGATTAAACTGCAGTAAAAGCAGCTCGCTTGCCAAGTTGTGCTCATTTCCATTCGCTCCCCACGCAGGAAACAAGTGGCCTTTCTCTCCCCCCCACCCCCGGAACTGTCAGCCCGGACAGAAACCCACACATTAATTTAGACTTTAAATTAAAAAAAGAAAAAAAACTCCCTTTTTACACTCTGTAATCCCTTAATTCGGGGTAGAATTGCAGCAACTGGAAGATGCTGAGAATTTACTGGCCAGATGCCTATGCATAGTTCACAGATATTTTTTTCTGCTTTGCACTCTAGGAGAGAAACATCTGCTATCTATGATTGAACACTCAGCCTTCCGAGTAGGAGGTGAGCCTCTTCACCACTAGGCCGCTCTCTAGGCTTAAAATAAAATTTAAAAAAATAATAATTAAAATTGGGAGACTGGGGCAGAGAATGTACATGCCCTGATTCTCACAATGGTGTGTACAGCAGTGCCATACGTATAACTTCCAATTTTATCAAAAGTTGTACATCTTTTAAGATCAAACCGCAAGCTTGGGTTGAATTGGTAAACAAGATCTTGGGATGGCTTAAGAGAGGGGTAAATCCCTGAAAAATCAGAACTTTTTCTGTAAATCATCCCAAGGAATGATATCAGAACAAATGGTGTAATCATGGCTTGGTAGACAATCATATCGGCACTTTTCTGTGGCTCATTTCAATTCAGGATTTGTCATGCTACTGTCTAGTAGGGCTCTCAAACAATACCTCTTATCAAATATTCCATTTAAAGCTACTCACCTTCAGGTAAATAGTATATCTAAATATGTAAGGTAAGCCAGGCCTCAGAAGTCAGGTCCCAAAGGCAATATATTATATAAAATGCATTAAACGTTTGAACTGGTTGCCATTTTCTTTTAAATGCTTCCTTATTTTATTGATGTGTAATTTTTGAACATTGCTAAATACAGAACATTTTCTCTAGGGGGGGGAAAGTGGAGCCTGACTTTTGGTATATAGACTCTCAAAACCCAACTATTTTTAGTTAAAACTTTGCAGCTTGACAGTGAGAATTAGCATAGATCATTCAGGTGGTTAATCTGTAGTTGAGCCTTGGTCTACAAGGCAAGTGCCTTTGAGGTCAATTTCACAACTGAATTAGCCACAAAACGCGGAGTGACCAAAGATCCCGTGTCCTGCTTTACAAAGAAAAAAAGGGACTTAAAACACAGCCAGCAAGGGAAGAAACATTACTGTAAAATTCCCAGATTTGTGGCAATATATAAAACCACCATTTTTATTGTTAAACGTAAAAGTTCATCCATTAAGGAAGTCCAGGTAGCTAGACGCAGTCATAACAAGTCAATTATCAAACAATATGAAACACTTTATTTGAACTTTACAACATATAAATTATGAGAGAAATCTGTGCTTCTGGACTGCAGTCCCGTCCCCACAACCCATCCGATGTCCATTTCTGAGAGCGCACCAACACCACAGTCCATGGTGCTCCCAGGGGGGGGGGAACGGGACCCTCGACGTTGTTCCTAGCAGAGGTCAGACTAATCTCAGAGTATTTACACATCCTACTGGGGGAGCTCCCCTCTACCTTGTCTGTCATCTGCTTAAATCGCGGCTCGAATCTCGGCAAGTCAGCCGCCGTTCCTCTGGAGATAAGCCGGCGAAGAAGGGGTGGACCAGAGCTTCACCAAACGTGACCCGCTGCGCAGGATCAAACTCTAACATTTGCATCATCAGGTTAAACAACTGCAGGTGCTCGGTGGAATTGTGGAGCATGTACGTCTGAGGAGAGAAGGCGGACAAGGGAATCCGTAAATTGCTCCTGGTTTTTTTTTTTTTTTTGGAAGGGCAGGTGCATAACCTGCAGGCTCTGGAAATGTCCAGGTGATAAAGAGATTATATATATATATATAATTAACTGAAATGGCTGTGAAAGTCTGACTCACAGACGAAAACAATACAGAAGCCTGATGATGGCAGATGAGATTCTGCCGAAACGTTGCTACAACTTTAAAAGCACAACTACAATGACGTGGGAAAATACCCAAACAAAGCTGAATACCATACATGTAAGTACCCGCAAAAACTTTACATACACACACACACACACATATATATAAATTATTATTATTACTATATTAGCAATAGAAGTACAGGTTAGCAATATGTAGGGAATACTCCCCTGCTTTAAAAAGGTTACAGTAGGAACAATAGGCAAGATGGGAAGTTTTCATAGGGCAAACTTTTAAAAAGCAAATCAGAATCTTGTCTAACGAAATTGTGCTTGATTAATAAATACAATTTATGCCAGCCTGTCTTCTGATTGGGGAGGGGTGTAGCTTAAATTTAGCAAGATGTTTAGTTATCACTTTCAGCTCATTTTAGGGCACATTGACAAGACGTGCCCAGCCAATGGATCTTGTTATCTAATATTAGTTCAGAAATATATATATATATAATAGTTACAGAAAATTAGATTAAATATCTTTGCTGGCTTTCCTGTTGTTCCAGAGGCATAATGAAAGATGAATTCAAGTAATAGTCTACTGTTTTTAATGAAGAACATAATTAAAAGCTCCCCCCCCCCTTACCTGTAGTGGTTTGCAGTTCTCTTGCACATATCTTCCATCTGAAGTGTTCTCATCCCATACTAAATTTCCTTTGTGGAAGTATTTCTGTTTCCTGATTGCAAACAAGGAAAAAGAAAAAAAACACAAGAGAAGGGTTGAGACAAACAAGCTTGAAAGCATGCACAAAACTCACTCCCCGCCCCCCAAGCGCTTAAATAAAACCACTGCAGAAAGTGTTCTACAACGTACAAAGACGACACCGTGCAAACAAATCTGTCATTGACAGGTTTGGTGCTTCCTTATACGTGTGTTACTCTTCCAGAACAACCTTGACCAACGTCTTACATCGCCAACAAATGATCCTTGGCTCATCCACCTGCCCAAGATGACGATGGCCTGCTTCCTGCTCCTGAAAAGACCAAACTTACTCAGAGTCAAGCACTCCTACCTAGTTTTGCGGATCATGTGCTGTGGCATTGGGCCAAGGATTTTCTCCATCATTACTAGGTGTTCTCTGTTCTCGTGAGTCTGTGAAGTCAAAGAAAGTAAGTTACTTCTAGTCAACAACAAAAAAGGATCAGCATTTTTCTTTTCTCACTGACTTCAAGAAAGTATCTCTTCTCTGTGTCAAGTAGACTTAGAGATTGAATGCTACCAAAGCCAACCGTACACCAGTCACCAAAACATAATAAGATACAATCAGTGCAATTAGCAAATTGCACTGGTTGTATCGAATACAGCAATTGGTAGGCAAGGATAATTGCAAGGAGTTTTCACTCAATGACCCATCCAGTGCTTGTTCAAAGTTATGACAGTGCTGAGTGAAGGGTACTTATGACAGCTCCTTGTAATTGTGGCCATCACGGTGTCCTTGCGGTCAAATTATTGCAATCATGGGCACTGCAGTGTCCTTCAATCTCACAATTACAACTAACAACCTTCCCAGCTGGCTTCTAACAAGCAAAGCAATGAAGCCAGCAAGAATTCGGATGTTGCAATCGCACAAAGTCCTCACTTAACGACTCACAATGATTTGCCTAATGATGCATTCATCTGACACTACAACTCTGACCGCATCGCTTAGCGATGGGAGTTTCCAGTCCCAATTGCCATTAAACAAGGACTACCTATAATTTACAAAACACCACTGAAAGTGTGTCAAAGTGCTCACTCTTTAACACAGAAAAACAAACAAACCACAAATGCTTGAATCTGTCCAGAGACAATGAAATCCATGTACCTGGAAAAGTGTGAATCCCCGGTAATATTCAAACAGGATGCAACCGATGCTCCAGACATCACAAGGCTGTGCCCAGCCCAGCTCTACAAAAGAAGGGACAGAATCACGTGTGTTCTTCATAGCAAGTGAAGATATAACTGATCACAACTGAAGTCTGCAAGGATTGTTGCATTCTCTCTTCCCCCACTCAAGTCTTTACGTCCAAACTCTCAGATTCTTTTTTTAATTTCAAGTGCTTTGCTTCCTGTACCAGCCTGCCTTCTGTTGAGCACCTGTATCATGCACGAGCCAGAAAGAGGGCTGACAAAATTCTGCAGAGCTCTTGCATCCTAGACATAAACCGTTTCAACTTCTCCCCTCAAGATGATGATGCTATACGGCATTAAAACGCCAAAACATCTAGACACGAGGACAGTTTTTTCCCCTGTCCCATCACTCTGCTAAACAACTAATTCCCACAACACTGTCAAACTACCTAGTTGGGCTGTATTACTATTATCCTTCTCATCTTTCCTATTTCTTTATCTTATGACTGTAGCTTTGTTGCTTATATCCTATGATTTATATTGACTATTTAGTATCCTAGTATGATTTGTGTTGATTGCTTATTTAGCATCCTATGACTATCACTGAGTATCTTATGATTTATTATGATATTTTATGATTATGGAATGGTCAATAAAGAATTCTATTTCTATTGTATTTCTATTCTATTCCTATCCTAATTCTATTCTATTCTTCTATTCCTATTCTAATTCCTGTCCCATTCCTATTCCATTCTATTCTTCTGTTCCATCCTATTTTTTATTGTCTTCTCTTCCTTCTCTTCTCTGTTTAGCAAATTGGCTTAATATGGAAAGCAATAGGAAAATGAGTGTCCGCTCACCCAAGATCACTTCTGGCGGCCGGTAGTGCCGAGTTGCCACAATGGTGGTGTGATGCTCATGGTCAAAAGTGGCGCTCCCAAAATCTGCCACCCGGATACAGGTGTTCCTGATAGATTTCTCTTCACAGTTCTGCAAGGCAGAAGAGAGCCATTCACTGCCTCCTCAAAAATGTGACATTCTCAAAGGGAATGTTCTGCAAATAGCCTTTCTTTTCCGACTAGGTGGGAAATGGCCACCTGCTGCCTGGATGTCACGAATCCCCAAAGCTAACACGAGATGTTAAATGGCTCAACATCAGCAAAAAAGGTCTAACTCAAGAGCTCTCCAAACTTGGCAACTTTAAGACTTGTGGACTTCAACTCCCAGAATTCTCCACAAGTCTTAAAGTTGCCAAGTTTGGGGAGCCCTGGCCCAACTCATATACAATAAGAACCAGAGAGATATGGGGAGAGAAGTGGCAATTTTACAGAGACTTCAAGCTTCTTGAAATCTGGGGAAACGGCCATCCTGAACATTGCTTTAATCATTAAGCTGCTTCCAGTCCCGTCACAAACTGATATTCCTGTCAGGATTCCAGCAATCGCTCTAATTAAACCATGATTCTCAAACCAAACTTCAAAAAACTTCAGAGGATTCATCAGAGGCAACATCCTGGCACTGCCCGGTATGAAGCCAACTCTGGCATATGTCGTTTACAGTACCCTGTGGCCCTGTTTCCTCCCCCTCCCTTCCCCCTGGGGGGTCTCATAAACCAGATTCTCCAATTGAGCCCATTCACAGGCTGGGTGTCATCATTCACGTTCTCCAATTCAATGTATCCTCGGGCAAAAACTCTTGATATTTTAGTTACAATCTTTTAAAGGTGAGAGTTGGAATGTACGTTCGCTTTCAAACTGCTGCAGATTTCCTTCCTCCCCCCTCTCCTTTTTTAATGTTAACTACTAAAACAGGCATAGGAATGTTTTATGAGTTGACAGTTCCTTCACCTCCGTGTAAACCGGCTGGGCCTTTCTATTCCAATGAAACCCACCTTTTTCTCATTGTACAAGGTATCAAATTCCGCGTTGACAAACAAGATGTTTTCAGGTTTGAGATCTGTGTGTGTCAGCTGGTTGTCGTGCAGAACTGCGGGGGAAAAATGGGAGGAGACATTCCAATCAGCTTTGTACCGACTTGTAATCCAGAGCTGGAAGTCTTAATAGGTATTTAAGTACCAGAATATCTATTTAGAAATAACTACCCCGAGGCCAGATTATTTTGAAAAGATGCTGTGAAGTGTTTAAAGACTTTTCAAAAGAGAATTTGACGTTCAGGCTAATCGTCACCCCCAAATTATAAATGTTTCAAGAGACTGAATTCATTTCCCTTCCCTCCCCCCATCTGGTTTCATAGTCGCCTATTCAATTTTATGCCACCGTGTCCGGATAGACAATCTCCCATGAAAAACCCCGGGGTGACTTTTGTCTCATTGGCCATTATAGACCAAACAATCCTGCTGGATACTGCTGGATTGATCGGGATACTAAGCAAGGGTTGTGAATAACTAAAAAACACCCACCCTTCCCGAGCGACGAGAAAGCGATGAGCAGTGAGAGATCTTTATTTCTGTTTTTCTCTCCTTGACCACAAAGTAAGCACTTACATTTCAAGGCATGGCACAGCTGGTAGGCCATGTGCCTTATCTGTGCAAGAGGGTAGGGCTGGAAGTTATTCTCTTTCAGAAACTCAAAGGTGTTCTTGCCCAGCAGCTCGAAGGCAATGCACATGTGGCCATGGAAGTTGAACCAGTCCGACATCAAGACGCACAAGCTAGGCCTGAGGAGAAAAAGAACAGAGGGAGGGTGGAAATCTGGCTACCAAAGAAGCATTAACCGCCTCGTCCAATTCGATGGGGCTGCCTTTCAAGAATTCACCCCCCTCAACCCTTCGATCAGGGAAAATGTTAAGGTTAGTGGGAAATTTAGGGAGAAGGAAAAGCAACTGAATGTAGCTTCTACGAGCGAGTGGGTGGGTGGGATTTATTGCCTAAGAGAATAAAGAATAAAAGGAGACAAAGGAGACTTATGCATAAGCATATAAAAGTATCTATGTCCTCAAAAAACTAAAACATTCGAAGGAATTAACGAAATAAGCACGACTTAATTTTTAGAAATTCTTGGGAGGGGGCTGCGCTGATTCTCTCCTTCCACTAGAGCAGGGGTGTCCAACCTTGGCAACTTTAAGACTTGTGGACTTCAACTCCCAGAGTTCCTCAGCCAGCTGGCTGAGGAACTCTGGGAGTTG